TAGGGCGTGTGCACTCGCCAGACAGACAGAGACCGAGAGACAGAAAGCGAGAAATCACCCCCCGTGGGGATGGCCACGCCGCAATCCCTTCTCTTCCATTCTCCTCTCGAGATCTTGGACACGCACGCACACACGCCCAGCGTGAGTTTTAAGTCACCGAGTTCGGGACACGAACTGCGGTCGACTACGTGGGAGTTCAGCGACATAGCCATTACGTTAACTGCTGGTCCGAGAGAAAGTTGTTTCTTAAAGAGGAGTAGTGACTGCTGGGGCCAGCAGGTGGCATGGCGATTGGGGCGCTGGACTCCCACATGGCTGACCTAGTGATGGCTGTGAGGAGGGAAAACAGGATAGGAATATAACACTGCTTTTGAAAGGGAGGTGGCTGCTCATTTTTATGCAAAATGTTATTAAAAAAAAACACCATAATTTTATCGGCCAGCCCGATAGCAATTTTCAAATACATACTCATGCTAGGTGGCAAATGTGGCATTTTAAACTAAAAGTTTGGCAGCTTTACTAAATACAGCCTAAATTTTCTCCCCCTAAAAATAATCACTTCACCAATAATAAAACAAAGTGAATGCCGTTTATGGTTAAAGAGAAAGAGTGGGCTGTATCGAAAAAGAACAGCAGTGGAGCAACAGGTGGGTGGTGGTTAAGGTGATGGATTTCTGCATAGCTGACTGCAGTTGGAGTCTCAGACCTGGTGGCCTGAGAGTCATGCCGGGCTCATGTGTGCAATGCCCAGAATCCCAAGAGGAGACTGGAGCAGAGGGGGTTGCAGAGTGGGCATCCCTTCTGGGGGATGATTTCTCACTTTTACCTCTGTTAGATTATTTTATTTCTATACAGTAGAATTTTATGCAACCATTAAAATAATGTATATAAAGAATATTTAATGATATAGTCAAATACTGATAATATTAAGTAAAAATGTGTATATGATATGATCTAAATAGAGAAACGTTAGTAAGAAAAACACCATAGTATTGGGAACCAGCAGTTAGCGTAATGGCTATGTCGCTGGACTCCCACGTAGTCACCCACGGTTCACGTCCCGGACCCAGTGGCTTAAAACTCATGCCGGGCGCGTGTGCATGCGTGCCCAAGATCCCGAGAGGAGAATGGAGGAGAAGGGATTGCAGCGTGACCATCCCCCCTGGGGGGTGATTTCTCGCTTTCTGTCTCTATGTCTCTCTCTGTCTGTCTGGCGAGTGCACAAGCCCTATAGCGGGGGGAAAAAAAAAAACCTCTCCAAAAAAAGAAAAAAGAAAGAAAAACACCATAGTATTAATGGTAATGGTCTCTTATGTTTAGTATAAATGAGATGTTTTTCATTTGTGCTTTTTCCGTAAATTTTCTACAATGAACATGTTTCTTTAATTCTTAAAACTTCTTTTAAGGGGCCAACCCATAGCCTGCTGGTTAAGGTGGCTGGATCCCATATCACTGACTGCATGGTTTGAGTTCCAGACCTGGTAGTTTGAAAAACATCCTTGGCACATGTGAATGCATGCCCAAAATCTTGAAAAGAGGGAGAAATCGAGAAGAAATTGTGCTACAATCATGACCCAAGAGGGGAGTGGTTCTTGCCCACCACTGATCTCTCTCTAGCAAGTGAAAACGCCCTCTGGTAAATTAAAAAACATTCTTTTAAGGACATAAAAAAACCTAAAGAATAAGTCAATGAATACCCATTAATATGCTCTCCAAATAAATCAATGTTAATATTTGGTTGTTTGGAAAGTCATGACACATTTTTTGCTTAGAAAAATAGTAAAATACATCATGACTTTCCTGACAACCTAATATATTTTCTTGTTAACGTTTTAGAGAGGATAAAAACGAGTAATTTTTTTTAAGTTGAATCTTTTTTTTTTCTTTTTTTCCCCCCTGTCGTTTTGATTCTTTGGTGTCCTGGAGGTTTGGCAAGGTTAACCAAGACTTGATCTCTCACCGTCATCCCAAGATAAGGAAAGTTGATAGAACAGTGGTTGTTAAAGTCTCAGTGTTATCTTTCATTCTCAGTTACAGAATAAAAAAAAAGTTTAAATTTTACAGAAAGATAAAGAAGAGGCTGAAAGGGTTTTTAAGAGTCCAACCGAGTGTGTGGAAGACATAGACAAAATTCCCTCTCTTCCATCCAGGGTGGTGAGGAAAAGGCCTCCCGTCAGGGAACATGTTATGGTGGGTCTGGTTGGAGCTGTTTCTCCAGTCACTGTCCTCGGACCAGGCCGTCCAGTTGTAAATGTACGAGTCAGCAGGCAAAGCAGTGTCTAAAGAGAGAAACAAACAAGCTTTACTGCTATCTGGCCCAGAATGCCCCAAGCCCATCACTGAAGTAAGCACATTTTCATCACTAGCTTAAAAGTTGTTAGACAACGAAACACCAAATATTCAGAGTTTATGCAATGGTACATTTATGATGTGGGCACTTTCCTGCATATGCATTGTATTTCAGTAAAAGTTTTATATAAAGCAATTTTCAATAAAAATTTACCTAGAAAATTCAATCTAGAAATATCATTTAAAATATTTATCATTCTATTTATCTTTTTATTTTGACATACTCTCCCTATATAGATTTTCCTGACTCATTTGACAAAGACTTCAACACAGTCTAAGAATAAGAACATTCTGCTATCTGGGACCAGCAGTTAACATAATGGCTATGTCGCTGGACTCCCATGTAGTCGACCATGGTTTGCGTCCTGGACCCGGTGGCTTAAAACTCACGCCGGGCATGTGTGAGTGCATGCCCAAGATCCTGAGAGGAGAACAGAGGAGAAGGGATTGTGGTGTGGCCATCTCCCCTGGGGGGTTGATTTCTCGCTTTCTGTCTCTCTGTCTCTCTCTGTCTGGCGAGTGCACACGCCCTATAGCAAAAATCACTCAAAAAAAAAAAAAAAAAAAAAGAACATTCTGCTATCGAACTGCAACACTGTTACCACCCTACTGCAATCTAATGGAAGTTCACATACTATTAATGTATTTTAACTATTGTCTCTTCAAAAGATTTCAAAAAAAGATGTTCTCCTCCATCTAAAGCTATGTATATATGCATACATATGAGGAAACTTCAAAAGGGTAAAATGGAATTAAAGTACAAGTTTGTTTTGGCACAAAATTTTTTTAAATCCCTGTGTAGTTTTTTCATAATACACATTTCATGAATTTTTTGAACACTCCTTCATATATAGACAGAAAATATATATTGGATTGCTAGAAAAGTCATGATGTATTTTTTTCTATTTTTTATGCAAAAATCCATCATGACTTTTCTGATGTCTATCTATATATAGGTGTATAGAGAAAGTAAAAATGAAAAAAATATTTAAATTGCTGAATCTAGGCAGAGAACATTTGGATATATCTTGTTTCAAACTTTTCAGTTTTTCTATATATATGAAAGTTTTCATTTTTACTAAGCCATCATCAATATCTCTTCATATTAAACAATCCCTTCATCCTATTATTTTTATGTCACTAACATTTTTTGTTTGTCTGGGTTTTTCTTTTTAAAGAGAGATTTTTGGGGAACCGGCAGTTAGCGTAATGGCTATGTCGCTGGGTTCCCACGTAGTCGACCGTGGTTTGCGTCCCGGACCCGGTGGCTTAAAACTCACGCCAGGCGCGTGTGCGTGCGTGCCCAGGATCCCGAGAGGAGAATGGAGGAGAAGGGATTGCGGCGTGACCATCCCCCCTGGGGGGTGATTTCTCGCTTTCTGTCTCTATGCCTCTCTCTGTCTGTCTGGCGAGCGCATGCGCCCTATAGCAAAAACCTCTCCAAAAAAAAAAAAGAGAGAGATTTTTGCTATAAGGTGCGTGTGCTCGCCAGAGAGATAGAGTCAGAGACAGAAAGCAAGAAAGCATTCCCCAGGGGGAATGGTCATGCTGCAATCCCTTTTCCAGTCTCCTCTCAGGATTTTGGGCATACATGCACACATGCCTGGCATGAGTTCTAAGCCATCAGATCTGGGACTTGAACTGAGGTCGACCATGTGGGAATCCAGCAATGTAACTATTACACCATCTCCTATGTTACCAACATTTTGAAAGTATTTATATTTATTTATCTATTATAGGCATTTTTATTTGTTAGTCTTAAATTGTCCCAAATATGGCCAATAGAAGCTGTTTTGTGCTGGCTCCTATGTCCTTTGACATAACCCTGTTAGTCTTTGAGCTTTTTCTGGAATAATAGATGTCTCAGGCTTACCTGGTACTTTCTTTGCCCTACACCTGGAACTGTTAATTTCTTCAAAGATCTGTACTCTCTTTTACTGTGATAGAGATTTTATAAAAATGTTCATTAGAAGGGGCCAGCAAGAAGAATGGTGGTTAAGGCACTGGATCCTACATGGCCAGCTGTCAGGTTTGAGTTGTCCTAGAACCAGCTGCTTGAAAATCACACCGGCATGTATACATGTGCACCTAAAAATCCCAGAGAATAGAGGAGAAGGAATTGCAGTATGGCCATCTTTCCTGGGGGCGGAGGTGATTTCTCACTTCCCCTCTGTCTCTCTGGTGAGCACACTCACTCTGTGGCAAAAATCTAAAAACATAATAATAATTTTTTTTTTTAATAGGAAGGACTCTTTTACAGAAAAGTGCTCAGAGGACTGGGCTCTCATTGGAACCTTTAGAATAATCAAAGTTTTTTAAAAAAGAGAAAAAAAATGTTACAGAATACTAAACACTTGAGGAGAAGGGTGTCAAGAAACAATAGCAGTATCTTGCACTTACAGAACATGTGAGCATTAAAGGTTGGGAGAAGGGTCTCCAGTAGGTCAGGAGAAAATCTCGGATCTTACCATTTCTGCAGTTCTTCTCAAAGACTATATTGCCATCTGCATCTTCTTTTTGGCATCTGGGGAATACCAAGTTCACCACAAACGTGATATTTGAGCCCACCAGTGCTGGTGAGTCGCTGGTCAGGACAGCCTGCACACGGCCACCTAGAGCATAAACAAAAGGCAGCTTAGTGATCAAGGACCTCTTTTTCTTTCACCCATTAATAAACAAAAAGTGGGTCTGGGTAGTGGCACAGTGATAATGCAGCGGGACTCATATGAGAAGGGTCCTGGTTCACATTCTGGCCCAGGACCTCCCTGAGCACACATGTGTGTCAGTGCCTGGTATGCTCACAGCCATGTGTATGTGCCCAGCCTGCCCGTGTCCATCCAGCCTGCTCACATCCATTCAGCTTGCCAGGACTGGGGGTGGATCATGGTGTGAAGATCCAGCTGGGAGTACCTGTCTCTCTCTTTGACTAAAGAAATAAATGGATAAACTTAAAAAAATAATTATCATGTAGATGGACTGGCCCCATAACCTAGTAGTTAAGGGAGCCAAATCCCACACAACTGACTGTGGTTTGAATCCTGGACCTGGTGGCTCGAAAAACATGCTGGAGATGCATGTGCTCAAAATCCT